TCAAATGCTGCCCCACACATCAGCTGTTGCTCAGCTCACTGCAGCTTCTGGCACCTCCTACCAGAAAAGAGATGACAAAGTACATGGCTTAAAAGAAACAGCCCTTAAAAACTCCAGCTCATTTTTAATGTGAGGCTCAGATGTGATGACTTTGAAGAGCAGAGCAGGAAGGATTTGTATCACTTTCAGTACTTTTCATCCCAATCTACATGCAAAATACAACCCAGATGCTGGAATTGTGCAATTGCACTGCTTGAGAAGGAAATATTTATATTTTTTCCCCAAATACTGTTCTCAGAAAATCCCCATGAATCACAAAGGCTCTCACTAGCCAGGCTCACGCTCATTTATTTGGCTGTGCTGACCCCCAGAGTCCAGGGCTCTGCATGGCACATCCCGAGCCAAATCCCACCAGGCTCCTCAGCCTCTTTCCTCCCACTGCCACTGATTCAAAGGGATTTTTCTGGAGTGATTGTTCCCACAGCCTGGGGATGATTGCACCCTGCCAGCAGCAGAGAAAACAGACATTTACCCCGCGCTGACTCAAATTGCTGCACGCATTTGAAACTGCAGAATTAACTAGATAAAGGGAGGAAAAATTACATAGGCTTTATAATAAAGCACATAGAGAATCTCATGGGGAAGCTGCCTGATTATATCTAATATCTCCAGCCACACATCTGGCAAAAACTGAATTATCACTAGATAAGCACCTGCTGGGGCAGAAAGAATCCTTTATATCTGCTACTTGAGTCTGGAGAAAGCTGATACTATTTTCTAACATACATTTTTAGGACTTTCTAATTCCATTTTTCAGAAAAAACTGTTTGCCATATTAACTATCAAACACAGCAACCAGACATTATTAAAAACACACAGAAAACAGAAAGGGATTAATTTAGGGTTAATTATTCTTAGGTAGTTGCTGCATAAGAGAAATTGTTTAGACCACAGTCACAATGTTAAAATCACTATGACAGACACCAAAACTTCTCCAGAATAAGAGGACACAGGAAGCTGAATGATTGCTCACTTTTTTTTTTGAGAGGAACACCACTTCAATAAATGAAGTGTCCTCCTCTTGCACATAGCACTAAAAAAATCATCAAGTTTCCTTTACCCAAATTCAGGTCTCCTTTGAGAGGAAGGTTTGCAGCTGCTCTCTAAGCAAGTTTAAAATACCCACACGATTTTTTAACTTTTAAAGCTCAATCCGACCTTCAGCCTAGGAAAAAAAAAATAGTTTGTCTTCAGGTAAGAGGCATTTTTCATAACCCTGATGGGAATTATCTTCTGTCTGCCCCCTTACAAATGACAACCTGATAAATGTCTTTTGTCTCAGGATACCCTTCTGTGGAGGCAGGATCTTTCTTCTTGGCTGTGCTCCCCATCTCTGCCTGGCTCTGCACCACCCTTCAGGCTGACACTGTGCCCTGAGCTACACAGAGCTGAGGAGACATTTGTGAGCAGGGACACCCCCTGGGTCCCCTTTGTCACCAGCATGGAGGACACCAGCTGCAGGACTGGTGACATTGACACCATGCACACACAGGGGACAAAGGGAAAGTGCTGAAGTGTGAAAGAGAGAAAGAAAAAAAGTCACAATAAATAACAGCCTGGAAAGGGATCAGAGAGAGCTATCACTTGATGTATCACCCAGGGCTTCCCAGGAGCCCTGTATCAGCACACAGGCTGATGGCACTGATGGATCACCCCTGCTGGGACAGCCAGGCCACGAGTCCCACCTGAACCTGCAGCCTCAGCCCAGCACCTTGGCTGCATCCAGCCCCTCAGTGCACCCTGCTGCCACAGGATTGCACTGGGGACCATCACATTCCAGCATCACATTCCTTCAGCCAGCACCTGAAGCTGCCATATTTTGCCATAAACAAACACATCAAATGCTGGAACTCATTAAACACAGAATAACTTTTTAAGAAAGTATCCATCTCCAAGCACAGGTGAAGCCAAGAGAAATCTGTGGTGCTGTATCCTCATCACCTCCTAGGAAAACATCCCAGAATTTTTTCATCCTACAGCATGACCATCAGAGATGCAGAGAGGAAGCACAAATGAGAGAACACAAGAATTCCCTGTGACCTGGCACAGGTGCCACCACCAACCCTGCCAAACACCCCAATGTGTGCCAGGGAACCCCCATGGGACTGAGAGCTCCCCCTGCTTTGTGGCTGCCCCTTCTGCTGCAGCTCCATCCTCACCCACCCTGCTCTCCTTTGGTTTGGGGTATGATGTCCTCTGGAACCTGCTCTGCCAAATCCTCCTCGCAGTGGGCACAGCTTCCCACGGCTTCCATACAGCAGCTCCACAGAAACCAGCCCTGTGCCCCTGCCGGGACAGGGGTTTGGGGACCAGCTGGGTGTGTGCACCACAGCAGCTCTCACAGAAACCATTCCCTGCCAGAACAAGGGGTTTGGGACCAACTGAATTTGTACCTCACAGCAGCTCTCACAGAAACCAGCCCCTGTCTGCACCTTCTGGGACAAGGGTTTTGGGACCAGCTGGGTGTCTGAGGTATTTCTTGCACAGAAAAATGGGAGGCAGCCCAGAACAGGGATCAAAGCTTCCCTGCTTTCCCAGGGTGGAGGGATGGGTACAAGCAAGCAGTCAACTCCTGTGCTTCAACCAATTGATGGCAATTAATGTTAAGTCATCAAGCAGGTGATTCTGCTTTAAGTCACTTGCTTCCACCTGACTTCCCACCTTTTTTTTTTCATTAACTAAGATTGTAAAGATATTGGTTTCATTTTGTGTTAGATAAACCAAGCTACTCCCAGTGTCACATATGCTTTGAAAAATAAAAGCATGTTTTATGTTCAAGATACAGCTATTAAAAACAACTTATTTAACAAGCAACTCGACTGATTTTTGAGACATAAATCCTTGCTCTTGCAGGATTTTAAAACCCCTTTTTCTTGGGTTGCCCATGTGTTGAGACTGGTCCATGGTGCATCACGTATCCTACAGCATTTTCTCTATCCAAAGTCAAAGGTGAGGAGCATTTTAAGAATAATAAATAACAAAATATTGTGGAAAGAGTATAATGTAACAAAGTATAAGAAAAACACTGAAAAGTAACATTTAAACCTCTTGTGGTTGGATAAGAGGAACAGATCCTTTGGGACAGGTACTCATACTTCAAAGAGCCCTTTTAGAAGTCTTACTGAGTGGAGAAAAAATCCCTCTAGCATTTAAGACCGGTAATTCACTGAGCATTCACTCTGCTTAGCAGAGGCTGTGAAGGTTTGCAGTGAAAGAAGGAGGAGGCTCATGATAACATATTTTGTAAATCAAGGCCAAATCAAATGCATTGAGTTTCAGCAGCTGTGCCAATTAAATCTCATTCAATTTGCTGAACAAGAACGTTAGCATTAATCACTTTGGCAAATTTCTTAGAATATTTCGTGTCACTGAGTAGTTAAGTGATTTTGTGCCTGTTTACAGTGCAGAATAACATTTTGTGAGGCAATATCATCAGTCACTGAGCAACTGTGGGATGCTTTGGGAACCCTGGGTGGCTCTTAGCAATGTTTCTGTAGTGGTCCTTTGCCACCTAGAGGCTTTTTCAAAAGTATCCAACAGATTCTGTTATTTTTTAACTGCAGTTTTCTCTGCCATCCACCCTTAGCACAGCCAAAGAACAAGATTCCAGCCAGAGCAGAGGCAATTTTGCCATCTGAACCCTCCACAGCCACATCCCATCTCCAACTCAGATCATCAGTGTAGCTCAGGGACACAGGGAATTCCTCTTTGGCCTTATTTATTCACAAATGGACAGGTTCATCTTTGGCCTTATTTATTCACAAATGGACAGGTTCATCTTTGGCCTGATTTATTCACAAATGGACACAAATGGTTCATCTTTGATCAGGCGTTGGAGTTTCCATAGCTGAGGTTGTTTCCTGCCCTACCTTTGATTCTGGTTCCAGATAACTCAGGCACCAAATCACAAAGCATTTCTGCAGCAGAGGAGGCACATCTCACCCTGGGTTATTCCAGCATGTGTTACACCCAACAGCAAAGAGAGGAGCTGCTTCTCTGACCTTGTAACCCCACTGAGTGGATTTTCCCCATTTTCTTTCCTTTCCTCACTGCAAAATTCTAACCCTGACCCTTCTGAGGTGAACAAGGCAAGGTGGCAGCTACTGCTATACACTTTCTGCCCTATCAAGGGTGAAATGTAGGGTGAAAAACATGCCCAAAGGTGAAAATATAAGATGCAAAAAGAAGCAATAATAGCAGAAAAAAAAATCAGGAAGCAAAGTCAAGGTAGTGAGATTTCTCCCTGGACTGCCAAGGCTTTTCTTTAGCTGCAGGTTCATAGATTCATCAGTTTAAACATGAATAAAAAGGAGCCAGCTGCACAAGAGAAAAGTAATTTTGAAATGAAATCAGGAATAATTGCAAAGTCCCCCAGCTGCATAGAGCATCCCACAATATGTCATTCATTATCTGTGTATCAGGTAATTAAATTTCAGGATCCCACATGGTAGATTTGATGTTGTACATTGGTATTAACAGATGAGGGAGGCACAAGGAGCATTTCTGGAAAACCAAAGAGCTCAGTGAGATGTTTTGTGAGCATAAAGCAAAATGAGTTGGGTGGCTTGGCTAATGTGTTACTTTATGGTGTTATTAAGAAATATTGAGCCCTTGGTGCTAAACTTTTTGCATTTCTCTCTTCCCAGCTGCATTCTCTAAAAGGTTCTGTCTTCTGCCAACCATGCCCTGAACCAAGGGCTTCCCCAGCCCCAGGAGAAATGCTTTTAACTTGCCTTGGAAAAGGAGCAGAGCAGAATCTGGGACAGATCGTCAGAGCAGCATCTCAGCATCAGCACGTGTGAGTGCCACCACCCCACAGCAAGGGGCAGAGTGACCCAGGGCTGGCACCTGCTGGGATTGCACAGGGACAAATAAAGCCATGTGGAGTGATGAGATTGCTCCTCATTGTCAGAAGCCAACAAAGCCAAAACAGACCCAGAAAAGTTTCATTAGTCCAGTTTTTATTCAAATTAAACGATGGGGAACTACAGTGTGATTTTCTTTCATAATAGAAATATGTCAGTGAAGAATGTTTCTTGAGTTGTTCGTCGCTCTGGACAAGACAGCTGTCAAGAGAGTTACTTTGCAAAGTCCTTTGTCCTCCACACTCATGCAAAAAAAATCTTTAATTTAAAAAATTAGCTTAAACAGTCAACCAACTTGTTAGAGTATACTGTCAGCTACTGAACCAAAGTAGTCTGGTTTACAAAACCGAAATTTTTTCACACCCAAGTAAATTACTTCACAATCATTCATTACCCTTGAGGTCTTTATACATAAAATATACAAATTAAATTTATCAATATTTATTTATTTATTTATTGTCACTGAAGAGGAAAATAATTTATAAACCCATAAACAAAGATAAAGGAGGTTGAAAAAAAGTGGATGAGCCCATATTCAGACCATAATATCTAGCACATTCCCAAACACTGCAGCTTTGAGCAACAATGCTCACATGAAAGAGATTTTTGGGCATGATGTGGGCAAAGGGGGCAACTGCTTTGACAATATATAAATGAATAATGAATTCCAAAGGCTAATACCAAGCTGTATTCATCTGTTGAACCATCACAGTAGCCTGATATACAGCATTTATCTGTTGAGCCATCATTGGTTGATGAACAGGCACCACACCTCACTGGATATTAAGGATTTTGGTCTCCAAACAATGTAAACCAGAGAAGAGTATTAAACTTTCATGGTGGTGACATGCAAACACTGCCAAGTGTATTTATGGTAATTACTTGATGTACACATCCATAAAAAGACACTGTTTGGATAAACTGAATGAACTGAAAATTGTTTTTAAACACCCCCAATTTATCTATTAGGCACCAATGGAAAAGATGGACTTCATTCAGACTTGTTTAAACAACAGCTTGCTTGAGTTAAATCTGCTGCAAGCCCAGCAGGGTGTGCACTACACATGATGCTCTTGGGGCTGGGGCTCATCCTGGGGGCTTTTCTGCAGCAGCAAAATCCCTTTTAGGAAACCCTGGGCCAGAAACCCACAGGGGTCAAGCACAGGGTGACCCCAAAAAGAGATTACAACAGAAGGAGGTGAGGGAAATGTTCATATTCACCAAGGACCAACATGAGGAAGAGGTTAAAGTTTGGTCTGTGAATCTTTTACTAAAACTCCTGCAATAATTTGTCTGATTTTGGCATTCTGGGAGCTGTGCCCAGACTGTTGTGGGCAGAGTATCTCTGTCTTCAAGCAGCTCATGCAGGATCCAAGAAACAGAACCACCAAGTGACAGCTTTTCCCCCAAACTACCCAGGAACCAAACTCATGGCACGAGGAAATTAAATCAGGTATTGGAATCATTGTAAAATAACCAATAATCTAAGGGCCTACTGGTGACTGAGGTAATGGGTCTGAATTTATCTCATAATGTGGAGCCCAGTGCTGTCCTTCTAACATTAAAACCAAAACAGCAGCTATCCCAGATCTTCCTTACAACATGGCATTTCTTGTGCAGAGAACATACAGAGTCACCCCTACACCACAGCCAGCAGAAACCACATTGGAGTGCACAAATTAGATGCAGAAATGTCATTGAAGACCATAAAAAGCAATCCAAAAATTATTTTAAATCGTCTTATAAAAATATTTACAATAAAATTTGTTAGTACTAATGCTACGTTTTCAGTCCTAGAAAAAGGCAATCTGTAAAGGATCTGGCTCAGGTGCTCAAAATGAACAATACAAACACGAAACCACACATCAAAGACAAATTCCAAAAGCATTTTGGGGGGTGGGGGGGGCACAGCTGGTTCATCACACGTTGTTTGTATTGCATAGCTGGAGAACGAGGTCACTTGACTTGCATAACACTGCAACGTTTGGGAAGGAAGGGAGGGAACACCACGAGGAGCACTGGCTGGGCTGGGAACAGCATCCCCCACCCCTGGCAAGGGCTGTGAGTCCTAGCCCTGTCCAGCATGCCAGCTCTGGGCCAGCACTGGGCAGAAATGCCATTTTACAAGAGCAGAGAACCACCAAAACCTAGTAATTAAGAAAGGTCTGTGAACAGATGGAGAGCAGGGATAAAATTATCCCACCTCCAGTTGTACCCACTTTCCCCACCTGACAAACAGCAAATTGCAGCCTTGCCCCTCTCTAGCAGTACCTACCAATTTTTATCTCCAGCCCACATAAACTCATAGTCTCTGGGTAATATTGGCCTCTACTCCAGAGAAGTCAGAGGTGTGAGAATGTTGGCTGGGAACTGTTCCCAACTGTGGAGCTGCAGCTGGGCTGCACAGTAGCTTATAGAGGAGTTTATTTAGCTTTATGTCTGTACCAGAACTAATGAGTGCCCAAATGCTTGCCCAGCCTTATCCAGTCACCTCTGCCTAACAACAGATGCTACCTTGCACTGAAATGTTTTGTCTGTCCCATTTTATCCTTTATTCCCAGGCTGCATGGAAGGGAAGCACCTTTTGGGACAGTGAATTTGAGTCTGTCCCAGCTGAGGCCTCATCACCTTCCTTATGCCACCATAAAGGTGCATCTCAGGACTCTGACCCCAAGGCAGCTGCAGTCAGGGGAATATTCCTACTGGGATCATTCCTACTGGGATGTACATTCCTACTGGGATACATTCCTACAAGCCCCAATGGCTTTTACAGTAAGCAACACCTCACAGGAGAGCAGCATGTCACACTATTGGTTTGGCACGTTTTGCTGCAGACTGTAAAACTCAAAGCAAAAGGTTTAAAGGGTATTTTGAAAAAGACTATTTTTTTTTTCTTAATTACTATTTTCAGGGCCTCTGAGCTCACATACAATACAAGTGTAGACATAAAGAGTAGCAATGCCTATTCTTTAGACAGTTTGCCCTTGTTGTGAAAGCAAGAACATCCCAAGAGGAGTGGGAGCTACCTCACATTCCCCATGAAGGGAGTGCCAGCCCCTCTGCAGGCAGTGACACAACACAGGCAGGGGCTGTTTCCCCACAGTGAACAGGCACCCATCTAACAAGGACTGTGTCAACTCAAACACCAAAGAACACATATTTATAGAAGAAACCCACCCCTCTACAAAAGCAGCACAAGATGATGCAGCTTGGATCCCTCTGAAATAAATTTTTAAATATTTTTCTCTTCTACTGTCTAAGGTCACACTGAGCAGATCTATGGAGACAGAAACCAGCATAAAAACTCTGGACAGCTGCCCACAACAAAAAGCCTCAGCTGATCTACAAGGGGAAAACAGGAAAAAAACCAACCCAAACAACAAGGAATAGAGAAAATATTTTTCTTCACTAGTTCCCTTTAGCTAAGGAGCTTCTGGGACCTCACCTCTGTATGCAGAAGCATGTCAGAGCTCATAGAGACACAAAAATGTAGTTTAAAGTCAAACATCTTCTTAAACAGAAAACTTCAAGAATTTGGTATATAAGCAAGACAGGTCCCTTACATCTGGATCTAGATTTGTCTGTTTTGAATAATCTTATGAGTTTTTCATACTAATAGAGGAATGCTTTTAGTAAGGGCAAAACTAAAATAGCAATTACAGTGACAGTGATTAGTTAATCTCCCTGCTCTGGAAGCATTAAAACACTGCAGGTATTTTACTTGGCTCATTAATCCCTGCTTGGGTGACAGAGGGCTCTCACTGCACGGAATGTCTCTACATTAATGGCACCATAAGGGGTTTTTTTAAACATCTAAATGCTCTATTATGAAATGGCATTGAGATGCTGGACAGAGCTAGAACTGAAGCTTTCAGCACAGCTGAAAAGTGTGGGTTGGGAACATTTTCTATTCAAGCAACATTTGTTTCACAGGAGCAACAAAGCCCGTGGGAGCAGCATGTGTAGTGTGGGGCTGTGGGTTGGTGTGGCTCAGGTGCAGAGAGCTCAGCCCCAGGGAAGGCACTGCCCAGCAGGTCCCGGCACGCACAGCACACAGCATCCATGGCAAGTAGAAAAACCACATGGTGTTTATTTCCACAAGCATTTCAGGGATACACACAGCAGTCCAGTGGCATGTACAAACGTACGGCTGAGACAGCGTCACACTCGAGCCAGACCACCCTGTTCCAGTCCATTTCTGCTGTTTTTTCTCAGCTGGAACTCAGGAGTTTCCCCTGCCAGTATTAAAGTCCACCTTCCAGGCACAGTGAGTAAGTAGTTCAACCAGCAATGTGCACGGAGCATCAGTAGGGAAGAAATCCAGAAACGTTCGTTTTTACTCACATGCCCAAACGTAGCAGTTTTGTTTCACACAAAAAATCCCGTGCCTGCAGTCCAAGCACAGTGTTTATCTCAGGACACATGCCATCGAGAAGAACAGCTGATTGCACCACAGATAACAAGCAACACCTCGTGTCTAGCATGGAACACGTCCCCAGAGGGATTTTCACTTGGCTATGCAATCCACTGCAGAGTGGATGATGCTTGCAACGTATCACTTGTCATGCTAAGACATTAACAGCAATGAGATGGGTCAAGTCAGAAGTCAGTCATCTTCCCAACACCACCTAGCTGGATCCACTTCACTTCTGCTCCTCACATTGGCTTGATCGTGTGTCACAAGGGTTTGTGAATCACAGCCACACCTGTTGTAAGAACAGACAGACACAGTTATGGTGGGAGCAGCTCCTGGGTTGCCACGTGGCTACAATCATCCTGCAAAGCCAAAGGCCAGCAATGAGGGAGGTGTCTACCACTTCTGTGAAAGTTCCTTCTACTGAAATCAATGTAAAACATACAAAAAAAGTACAATTAAAGCTTCAGGGGGCACAGCCCTCAAGTTTAGGGATGACCCCACTGCTGCCCACTCTCCCACTGCCTGTTTACCTGCATAACTCCTCCCTGTGCTCATGCTGGTTGGCAACAACGTCCACTTGTCTGTGCTGGGGTTGTAGTACTCCACCGAGGCCAGGTTGCAGGAACCATCATCGCCTCCCACCACGTAGAGGAGACCATTCACAGCACACACCCCTCAAAGCAGAGCACAGATGGTGAGAGAGGAGCCAACTTATCCCCCACAGCGTGCTGCTGCCACATTCCAATTCACCCCCAAGCAGATCCCTCAACTCCCATTTTTATCTTCTGCAACACTGATCACATACACCACAAGCACACCAACTGCATTAAAAACCACACACAGATAACCGAGCCAACCACCACAGAAAGGCTTATCATGGTTACCTGCATTTCTTCTGCACATGTTCATGTCTGCTACTTGCTTCCAGGTGTTTGTCCCTGGGTCGTAGACTTCCACACTCTTCCTCACCAAGGGCCCGTCATGGCCCCCGGTGGCGTAGAGCAGCCCACTGAGCACACCAACACCTGCCAAGCACAGCCAGGTCAGCCACAGCACAGGGACAGGGCTGAACGTCCCTGCTTCATCCCTGGGCACGGCCTTGGCCTCTCCAAGGCACTTCCAGGAGCATGGGCCACATGTGCACCAAGATCAGCAGGCACAGGGTCAGCTCTGCACCCACCCACCCCGTGGCACCACAGCAACCTGCACAGTAGTGCCTGGCAGATGTCCCCCCCCAGGAAGCTGTCAGGCTATCCAAGACCAGCAGTCTAGTCCCATGACATTCCTCTGCCTTTATTCCATCTCTTTGCACTGACTTCCTCTCTGCCTCCCACCCCACCTTGTTTCCATCTGCCTGATATTTTCTGCCACAGGACCCTCTGCTTTTAGCCTGATTCCCCTTCCAGGACATTTGTTTTTCCTGCTGCCATTGTGACGCACGACTTCATCCCTTGGATGATGTTCCTCTCCTCAACAATTTATAGCTCTTGAAGCTGCCACCTGGTTCCTCTCCTCCCACTCCCACCCCAAAACCTGGCAGCACATGGCACAGACAAGGTGCCTCCAATGCCACCTTCTCAGCCATTTTTGAAGGCCCCTGGCCAAATCTCTTGGAATTACCTGGATCTTAAAGCTACTTCTGCCTAATATTAAGTAAATTAGTTAATTAAAATGTTCACCAATCCATGAGAGTTAAAACTTCCAGCAACTTCATTAATAGGTTCAAAGGCCTCTATTAAAATTAACAAGGTGGGATGTTAGTAAAACAGAAACAGATCTGAATCACATCATTTCAACCATGGGCATTAACCAGTGTGCAGGGAGGGGTCCTGCCAGCCTGATAGCAACAGGTTTTTGACTTGGTCCCTGTTCAAGGATCTCTCTTGGTCAGGAAAGGAGAGGGCAGGAACAGCTGCTGAGCCAGAGAACAGGCACCACTGAGGCTCTGCAGCTCCATCAGGAGCAGCCCCATCTGGGGACAGATACATAAATCTACCACTGTCACCCCTCCCCTCTCTAAATTATCTTAGCTTGCTACTGCTGGGTTTGGTTTCGGCCAGCCATCTCTCACTGTACCGAGTGCTGAAATCCTAATATGACATTGGGATTCACGGTTCACCACTGGCAAACATACAATTAATCTCTAACTGCCATAAATATCCACCTTGCTGGGCCACATCCTTGGTATGGTTGAAGTACTCCAACATGCAGGACTTGGGAAGAGCAGAACACATCCACATGTGTGTCCTGGCTCCTGAGCTGGAGCAGCTGTCTCCCAGGTCACTGGGAAATGGAAAATCACTTAACTGCATCTGAGCCCAGCAGCCTGGCTGTGCAGCACCTTGGCATTTGATTATATTCAGCTGTTAGTGGAAATCTTATACTTGTAAGAAATAATTTAATGAGTAAACTAATTTAGCAAGCAAGAGAACAAAAGAGCCAGAAATGCTCAAGCTTTTTCCCATGAAACTGCCTCCTTGTGCAGTGAGACAGGGCATGCAGGGACAGGGGAAGTGAGCCACACAGCTGGTCCAGAAAACCCTGGTAGCGTTCAACAAACGTGCAGATGTGGCACCTGGGGATGTGGTTTAGCATGAACATGGCAGTGCTGGGTTAACAGTGGGACCTGATGACCTTAAAGGTCATTTCCAATCTAAAAAAATTATGATTCTACAAAAGCTGGGCAGAACCTGCAGATCCCCTCAGCCCCAGTGCCTCCAGGGACTTGGGGACACCTGTCCCCAGCCCCACTAGATGTCAGCACGGGGACAGAGCAGGGTGTCATTGCTGGGGCCGGACAGCAGACTGTGCTGCAGCACTGCTGGTGGCAGTGGCACTGGACAGTCCCCTCCATCCCTGCTGCAGGGGCCTCTGTGGGACAACCAGAGCCTGAGGAGCTCAGCTGTCAGGTGGGAACAGAAAACTACAAAGTTTGGCAGGGGAGTATGAGCATTCCTAACAAAGGACTTGCTACATGGAGAAACACTTGTAAAGCAGCACTCAGAGCGTTTCCAACAAAGACAGCTCAATAAAATCCATCTCACTGCAGCCACAAAATTCTTGCTGTTTCAACACATTGCCAGCAATAGGAGATACTCATTCTGCTCTCCTGGAAGGCTGCACTGGACTAGGTTTAAGCATCAAGCAGATACCACAAACTTCTTCCACAGAACTCAAACCAACAGTGTGTCCATATTTACCTCACCTGGAGCTACAGAAAAGATACTGGAGTGAGGAGAGAAAGACAAGGTGAAAGGGAGCAGCCTCAACCTGCCCAGCTCAAAAGGGAACTCCCACCACAGCTTAACCTGCAGGGTCATTTCAGCCCCAAAGAGCAGCCCCCAGGCTTTCCTGTGGGTTCCTGCACAATTTAATATCAGGGAGGACCCACAGCACACACTGAGCATTAAGACCAACAGTGACAAATTCCCATTCACCTGAAGATCATTTTAAATGCAATGGATGAGAGCTCTTCTCCCTTTCAGGAACAATCACAGAGAAGACAAATTACTGCCTGGTCCAAGATCATGTAGCAAATTAGAAACCATCAAGACTAGAGTCCAATCGTTTTACAACAGGCCCTTTGCTCTAATCCTCCAGATCGCCAACTCTTGCAAAAAATCAACTAAAAACTAGCTAAGAAGGGAAAATCTGAGATTAATTTTATTATTCTACACAATATGCAGATGAGGGGGAAAAAGGGGAAGACCACGAGGTCACAGGATACAAATAATGTGAACAATGCAAATTAGCAAAACAGCGAGTGCAAACAACTAAATAACTATTTAGTGCAATACAACAAGCCATGAGAGCCGCTCAGAGATTCCAAGCCATTACATTTTCACCCCTCACGGGAAGCAGGGCACACAAGAGGCTGCACTTGCAAGCCCAGCAATGGCAAATCCCACTTTCCCTCCCTGTGTGTGAGCAGAGCAGGCGGTGTGTCACAGACATATTTATGAAAAATCCTTTTGCTAGGATCTTTTCTCCTGAGAAGCTGAGAGGCCTCAGAAATGAAATGTAAACAATGGGTATCTGCTGCTGTGGAATGCAACAGGTGCATCTGTGATTGGTCTCATGGTTGTTTGTGATGGTGGTCACAGGGGTCTTATGCTGAAGGAAGAGACAAGGATTTGACTCCATATTTCAGAAGGCTTGATTCATTATTTTATGATATATATTACATTAAAACTGTACTAAAAGAATAGAAGAAAAGGTTTCCTCTCAGAAGGCTAGCTAAGCTAAGAATAGAAAGGAAAGAAGAATAGCAAAGGTTTGTGGCTCAGACACTGTGTCCAAGCCAGCTGGGCTGTGATTGGCCATTAATTCCAAACATCCACATGAGACCAATCAAAAATCTACCTGTTGCATTCCACAGCAGCAGATAACCATTGTTTACATTTTGTTCCTGAGGCCTCTCATCTTCTCGGGAGGAAAAAAATCCTAAGGAAAGATTTCTCATAAAGAGATGTCTGCGACAGTTGTTCTTAATTAACAGCCAATCACAGTCCAGCTGTCTTGGACTCTCTGGTCAGTCACAAGATTTTATTACCATTCCTTCCTGATGAAATCCTTTCTTCTATTCTTTTACTGTCATTTTGCTATATCACTTTCTTTTAACATA